AGTACTCCACTTCAGCACATGTGCAAGACCTGACAAGACCATGAGCAAGACATTGATTAAAATATAAAAAATAAGACAGGGGGAACAACTGCTGTAGTTTGAGAGCACGTGTAGTGTGCTGTGTTAACATACAACCCTTGCAGGGCTTATTAAGAGGCCCAACCTCCACCAGCTCCCATGCCAAAACCACTGCAGGTAATTACTGTGTCAGCTTCCCAAATGCTGTATAAATCTCAGCTCTCAAGACTGATGGTTGCACAATCACCTCTCTGATATCCCTCTGGAATGCTAAAGTTAACATCTAAAATTACATATATTTACATACTCTAGGAAAAGGTAATTTTCACTTGTTTCAATCAGTCTTTATTTTTTAAACATACAGACAATTTTTGCAGCCATAAAACTTGCTTCATTCTAAAAATAACCTCTTTGCAAATTCCCAGAAGGTGATCTGCCTTGACATTTCAGAGTTATGAAACTATCCCGAGTGCCTTAAGCTAGGACTATCAAGAGAGGTAGTATTCTTTCAATAAACCACCTAGTTACTTTCTCAGTGGAGTCTAAGAGAGTTGTTGCTTATATTTTAAAACATGCATAAGCTTGTTTGAAGACATAGTATCTTAAGAGGGAGACATGTAACATGTAATTGAGGAGTACAAACTCTGTATTTTAGACAGCACACTCTTACTAAAGCCGAATAGTACGTATTATATTCTAGTAATTGGCTTTAAAAACCAGTAAAATTTACAAAAGTCGGTCATGAAGATATAAATATCAACAATTCTCAGTGTAACTGCTGTCCCAATCCTGCCTCCTTAAAAATTTAAGGATCTGAACTTAACCATAAATAACATCAAATTGTATTTGCTAAAGAAAATGGACACTATGCAGTAATGAAGCATTCTTGATCTCACACTCGTGTGCTGCTCATTTGCACAGAATGGATTTCCAGTTACTCTGCTTGTCTGGCCTAGTTATGCATCGATTATGGCACTTAGGAAGACTGAAGCACTTTTGAAGAAATGGAGTTCACACTGAAACTATAGCTAGTAATTTCTACAGGGCAGATACAAGCCAAGGCAATTCAAAGATTTGTTGATGCATTAGGAAGCTACCAACACCATTCATTGTAAGGCAACAGCACAAAGGAGACACTTTTTAATTGTTCAGGTCTGTTTGCATTAACAAATATGAATAATACTAAATATTGGAGATTAATTTTTTTTTTACAAGGCCAAATATACTTTCAAACTTGAACTAGTGAGTGATGAATAACAGGATAGCTGTGTGTAAGCTGAAAATGGTCAAATGTATCCATAAACTGTAGGGTATGTACATAATGATATCTACAATGTATATGGGAGTATGTGGAAAAATTTTTGTGGTGAGTTACAGAAAACATCACAAATATGCAGTTTTCATACAGATACATATCAATAAACACTTGCATTACAACAACAGTAATCCTCTTAGAAACTATGAAGCACTTGCATATATTTTAGCTCAACATCTATCACTGATCACACACAGAATCTTATTACTCTGTTCCCTGCTCTCCCAGTCCCAATGCAGCCAAATATTTGAGGCAAGTCAAGTTCATAACGAAGAAAACCTTCCTGGTACGCACAGTAGACCAAAGCACACTCTAAAATGTTTCACAAAATGGGGATGGAATACAGCAATTTGCTGTACAGATTTCTGAATGCCTGTAAAAAATTTTGGACAGATTTTATAAAGGCAACACTCTTGAAGAGAAGCTGAGATACGTCTTGTAAGAAATGGGAAAGAGGGAAAGGAAAAAAAAAGTAAGACCTACTTACCCCTTCTGGGAGGGGAAGAAATGTGTCTACCTTAAATCCACAACCTATTTTTGCTCACCTTGCCACCACATTAACAAATCTCAGAAGCAATTCACAGGAGGAGGGGCACATTTTTGCACTACAAGTCATCCACTCCAGCTAGCTGTTCCTTATTTGACAAGGTGATGTAATTTCCTTTTTCTCCTTTGACTTTCTATTTAACATAAGTACCTGAGATAGAGGCATCCCTTTTAATATTTAAGCATTTCAGACTTCCAATTGGACTTTAAAAGCTTAAGAGCTGTTAATATACTTTCTGGAACTCCATATACTTAAAAAAAAAAAAAAACTAAAAATTTCTGGTTCTCTAGTTCTCATATCATCCCTTAAGTACTTCTGTCTGTGCAACTAGATGAATGCTGAGTAACTGACACCTAGCAGAAACAGCCTCATGAGAAGGTTAGTTTAAATCTACTAATAAATAATTAGATCTTATTTACTGTGCATCAAACCTCCATAGTGCAGGTCAGTATTCCTGAGTCACAGGCCAAATCATGCCCTGATACGGGCCTCAGAAGATTTTTCCATTTATAGGAATTATATTCTTTACAGTTATTATATAAATGAATTGCATTCTTAACTTCCAGATACTTTTCTACACATTCTGCCAGCCAGAAAGACCATTCTGTTGCAAAGAATTTAAGACTATGATCACTTAGTAACTGCTCAAATCATAGGTGACTGCAAATAAAACTAATTCTACGGGTATACTCCAGACAAATCGACTGAACAGCAGACAAATGATGTATTTAGATTGTAAGTCAGCTAGTTTGAAATACATTCAAAGAACCACAGTTCATCAAGGAGTTTAAGTTCACTTAAAATTTGGGCTACCATTTCGCAGTCCTGCACAGCAAATGGGAGGAACCTGTAAATCGCCAGTAGAAAACTAATAATTAAATAGCAAGACAATTGCCTTGCCTCTGTTTGTCAGATTTCAGATGCATGCTTAAGGTATGGTACTTCACCCTCCTGAAAATTTTAATGTGAATACAGACAGCTTACATTCAGGAAATAAAAATTCCTTTATAGGTGACTCAGAGTCATAACCATAGTGTTAGACACAGTGTGATAACTTTTAATTCTGTTTTCCACTGCAGAGAAGTGGAACTGTTTTCCTCTGAAATAATTCTTATACTGCAGAGGATGACAAGGGGCTTCACCAAGGACATATTCCCCTTCTCAAAAGATAGGTTTCTATTTTAAAAAGGAAAATAGAAAATTATCCCACACAGGTAAAGAAAACTAGGTCTGTGCATAAAGTAATAAAGGTAAATTGAGCAGTTTAACTAGATTATAAATGCAATTCACAAATACATTTCACCTGTCATTCCAGTATAACAAACATTCAAGTATTCCCAAAATGACCACAGATCTTGCCCCCAGAGCCTTTTCTATCCAGTTTATTAAAATGTAATGAGGTACTGTTATCTTTAGATCAAGTATAATAAACTTTTTCTTATTACTTCAGAATACTGCACAGGCCCCTTAGTCTGTGCACTAGTGACAGGAGACCACTGAAGTTTCCAGAGCCCCCCGGCCTGCTCGCTCTGCGTGTCACAGGCTCTGCGAGTCACAGGCTCGAGAGACGCACGGTCAGTACTGGAAGGGTACAGCGATGTCTCCAGATTTACCATCACAGATTGGCTATTTTAGAAAATCGAGGATAACTGTGTAATGGGGTGGTAAGTCACAAAGAAATGTTTATTCTAAATTAAGTCATCCTAAATTAGAGTGCGAAGCACAGAGTTCAAGCCCAGAATGCGGTCCCCTGTTACTCCCAGGAGCGAGACGAGCACTGATACTGTTTCGGGTCAGGAAGAAAACGCGTGGCACGCCACGCTGATTTCCAAGAATGTGGTTACGGGCTTCGCTGACCCCGGGCGGGTCCCATCCCCCCTAGAGGGACTCCTGCCGCGGTAGCGCGCCCAATCCCACCGCGGCGAGCACGGCGGCGGTCACATCCGACATCCCCCCCGGCAGACCCCCGTGAGTGAACGACGCCGCGGCGGGTCTGGCCCCGGTGGCCCCCCCAACCCCACCCCGGCAGCACAAGGGCACCAAACGCGCTCCCGCTCCTCCCGCGCGCGGCCCGGGCCGGGGCCGCCACCACCCACCGGGCCCGCCGGCGTGGGCCGCGCCGCGCCTCCGTGCCCGGGGCCCGGCCAACTCCGGCGCCGCGACCCGCCCGACCCGCGTGTGCCGCCGGTGGCCGCCCAACCCACCAGCCACGGCCCCCGCTCCTCTCGCCAGCGGCGGGGCCCGGCGCGGCCCGGAAGGGGCGACCCCGAGCCGCGGCCAAGCGGCCCCGGTGCGCAGGCACGGGGCCGGGGGGCGCCGCCGCCATGTGACCGCGGGGCGCGGGCGGTGCCGCCGGGGCCGTCACTCACCCCGACAGTGTCGCGCAGCTCCGCGCGGCCGCCAGCGCCACACGCATGCGCCGCGACTGCGCCCGGTCACTGCCGCGGCGCGCGCCGGCCACCGCCCTTATAGCGGGGGGCGGGGCCACCGGTGACCCCGCCCGACGCCCGTCGCTTTTGTCAGGAAAAGCCTTAAAGGGGCCGCGGCCGCGCGGGGCGATGGCGGTGTTGAGGTGTGTTGTGTAGCCCTGCTGGGAGCGGGGGCTGTAGCGGTCCCCGGCGGCAGTCTTGGCCCCAGCAGCGCTGCTCCGGCCGCCTACGGGCTCAGCGAGAGCAATGTTCGCCAGGCGGGCTCCGCGTGGGGCTGGAGAACCGCTGGGGACCGCGGCGAGCCCAGAAGCTCGCGCTCGGTCCCGCAGAGCGGCGAGTGGCGAGGCGGCAGCGCCCGCCCAGCAGAGGCTGCTGTGGCAGCGCTGTCCCTGCGGCGGCTGTTCCACCGAGCAAACGGAGTCCTTCCTGCCCCGGCCGTCTGCTTGGCTTTCCCTGGTCGATTTTTCAGGGGAACTGCCCGCTGCCCGCCGCCTCCGTGTCTCACTGGGTCCCCATGTCCTCGGGGATGGCGGCAGTTACTGGTTCCGTTGCGACCCTGGCCTGTCCGGGTCCCGTTCCCAGCGCAGGTGTCAGAGCAGCTCACTCCCGCTCATCTGCTGCTCTGCGGGAAGCCTCGCGAGCAGTTCCGCGGGAAGTGGCCCCGCGCGGGCAGCAGGGGGCGCTCGCTGGCCCGACCCGGCCAGCACGGGCGGTCCCGGGGCGCGCGCCCCGGACCGTGAGGGAGGTGCGGCTGAGGAAAGGAAGGAGGAGAGCAGACAAGTGCAGGTTTGTGGTTTCGATAACTGGGGCACACTGTTAACTAATGATGAGACTTCACTGTGGTTTTTATTCTGGGCACATGCTGGTGATGGTGGCTTGGGCTGAACTGTACCTGCTCAAAGACTTCTTCCAAGTACTTTGCTATACTTCTGTTGATCTGGACTTGAAGACTGCAACTTATTGTTTCTGTGGATAACCTGTGTATGCTTATCTTAAGTTTAAATTGTCCTGTTTGTATATATGTGTTTAGGAGAAAGCAGTCCTTTTTTCTTTTTTTTCTTTTAATTCTGGTCTGTTGATGTACATACACACCGATAGTGCAAATAGCCCTGGATGTTATTATGAATGGATATAAAGGACAAAGTTGTCTTAAAAATGTCTTACACAGACTGTTGGCTTCAGTAGGGCGAACTCCTGCAGTGCCTCCATGGTGGAACATGAGGAATAATAGATGTTTGGCTTTTTTAGTTATGTATGCCTGAGAATTTTTGATCCAGGAAGAGGTCTTTCTGACATTCCCTGCAGATGTCACCCAGTGGTCCCTGTACTTCTATCAGCAGTCCAGGTTTTATTCCGTTAGATAACTTAGGAGTTAGTTCGTGTGCATGTAATGGTATGGAATTTTTCTCTCTTACTGTTAAATAGCTTTACCTATGGCCTTTTTTCCCTAAAACCCCACTGCCTTAAGTTTCTCATTGTTCTGCTGATGAAAATGTTTGGTAATGGTGTCACAATAGTTTCTGTTCTGAGTGGAGGACAAAGGAAATTGAATTCTGCACCTACAGTTACATTCCCATTTCTCACCTTTCTTTGCAACCACCTCACAGTTCCGTAGGCATGCGTAAACCACTTTTTGCAATTTGCTAAGTGTCCCAAAGACTAACTTCTAAGTAATCTTGGACACTCTGATTGGTTAATACTAGTTAATAACAAGTTTGCTAAAAAAAGCCAGCTCGGGTAGTATTAAAAGATGCTTTAAACCTCTATTGTACCCAGTTCTGGAGATGGATAGCAGACTGATCTGTATTTAATAAATGAAATGTCTGAATTCTATGAAAAAAAGAATAGCATGGACTTTCATTCATGATACTACCTTTCATTCAAGGATTCTCTTTGCAGAGGGGAGTCCTAGAGATACTGGATGTCCTTTGATTAAAGTTGTCCTATTTCTGGCTTGCTTTGCAGCCTATACCTTTTCACTGATCTCAGTCCCCTTGATGCTTCCTGTTTTAAACACTTAAATTTTTCATTTGCTGCTTCTGTTTGTTTTGAGAGAAGAAAAGCATATGTGTAAGCAGCAGCTGGAGAAGAAAAAGGCAAAGTCTCTTTAGGAAGATAGAAAATTACAAAAGTAAAATTTCATACTGAAAGACTAAATGGAAAACAATAGATATTTATTTTTAATATAAAATGTCAGCTAGAGCTCCTGTACAGTCATTCTTTAGATCGTTATGATTTTTTTTTTTTGTAAGCCCACTTCCATAAACAACAACTTTTTTTTACTGTAGGTGCTGCTGTATTATTGCTTAATTGTACTTATTTGTTCTTTAGCAGGAAGCTTGGGGGGTTTTTTCCAATGCTTTCTGGTAAGCACATAAGGGGCCTCAGTCCCAGCTCAGGTGGTGCGAGAGTGACTGCCAGAGTGCCTCCTGGATGGTCAGACAGGGAAGTTTCCTTATTTTCATGGCTAGGCTTCGCGAACGAAGATTTGGGAAGGCTCTATCCACATTTGCTACAGGCACGCTGGTGGCTTATGAGGCCAATACGTGACAGACAAATCCGATTGCAAAAGGCACAGCAGAAAGACTCCTTAGATGGTGTATTCTGCAATACACGGTTCTTTCTGCGTTGCCTTTTTTCCTCGAGAGTGATCCTGCGAGTGTTCTCGAAGGAGACAGCTGCGTTATAGATGGTGTGTCTCCAGGCCTCCCGATTTGAGGCCAGAGTAGACCAGTTATGGTGATCAATATGGCCAAGGCTGAGATGTTGTTTCAGGGAGTCCTTGTATCTTTTCTTCGGGGCTCCTCTCATGCGGCAGCCAGTGGCAAGTTCACCATAGAGCAGGATCTTAGGGAGGCGGTGGTCCTTCATCCTTGAGACGTGCCCTGCCCATCGCAGCTACTCTATAAATAAATAAACAGTTTTATCAAAAGATCAGGCTATAGCATTTTACCTTTAATAGTTAAAAATGATAGAACAAGCCACAGCAAAAGGCACAAAGAAACAAGGAGCTGACTGCTACCATTCTTTCCAATCCTGGTGAAGCCTACCATCCAAATATGACTGTAAAAGACTGATGACTTCTAAGCTTACCAATACAAATACACAACAGCTATAGATGCGGACAATATTTAGTTATTTTTCAAGAGTTCCTGTTTGGTCCTGACAAACAAGATTTGGCCACAACAATCCACGAATCTCATCTTGGCAATGCAACACGGTGTGCCTGGAGATTGACTCAGTGGGCGTAGGGTCGCAGCAGTCTGTGCTGCAGTACATCAAATCACCCAGGACTGGCTCCTTCCACAGTCAGCCTATCTGATCTAATTTAATTACCTTACCTTGGTGTCTTTGCTAAGTAATTAATAAACTTTACCTTGTGCAAGGACCAGTTCAGAAGCCCCTATGAGGTAGAGTATAACAGCTCAAGTGGAGCACTATGCTATACTATTCACACGGCCTCTAGTTGTTTTGAAGAGACACCTCAACCTGCAAAATGCTGTGTGAATGCATCCAATAGTTGGCAGGCCACTTAGCTTTGTCATAAAGACAACATCTATCTATGTAGTGAGGTGAGCACAACAGAAAAAGAACACTGAAAAAGAAAAAACGTGGTAGACAAAGTTCTTGTGAAGGATGAAAAGGGACTTACTTCAGCAATGCTGCAGACCCTAACGCTGCACATGGGTAGATTCCAAGAAATTCTCCCAAACTGTCATTATGCTCAACACTACCCTTGTGTGAGATACTGTGCCTAAAGGGCATAAAAACACAGCTGAGCCAGTCAGCTGATAGCAAGCCCTCTGGCTCTGTAAGAAAGGAGATGGGATGCAACAGGGTAGACTGGGATTTGAGTCAGCTCCTCTGCTGATGTGCCCAGCATCCTGTTCCAGTGGAACACCTCTCGACACTGCCCTAAAAGCATACAATCTAACGGACTAAGGGAGCTCTGGGTATTTCACCACTAAAGCTTGGCTTCCTGACGACCAGTTTACATGCACAGTTCACATGCCTGAGAGCAAGAATGAACTCAGTTTGGGAGGACCGCATTACAATGTCTCTACAGCAGCAGGACGGATGTAACATTTCTGCAAGGCATTCAAATATTACAGAATGGATGGTAAAAAACAGATGTGGCTGTGGCCATTTCTGGGAAACAAAAGTGTGAACAACCAGCTATTTTTAATTTATCGAGTTCCATTCCAGTCTAAGCTGCTGCAGACTGTGTCGATATTTGTGTCCTTTTTTGATCTCTTCCCTCACTCAGCTTATGCTTATGTGCTGAAAAAATCTGAGCACATGATTACCCCATCCAGGCAACATGCCTTTGAAATGGCTTTTTAATCTAGACTCTCCACTCCCTGACAGACTGAATTTTGCAGTATGTCTGTATTCGCTGTCTAGACACTTGAATATGCTAACCTCTAATTTAGCTCTCCTTTACTGACCCATGAATTTCCTCCCTGCTGTGGGTCTTCTGGCTAAACTGGAAATGCAACACACTCATTCTGCCCTATACCTGGCTGGTGCAACTGCATTCATACAAATCTGACCAGTGAAGTATGTACATGTTCCTCATTTACAGAAATGAGGAATCCTTACACTAAAAGTTTTGTAGCACTCTCCTAACCCTGGTCCCTTCTTTGCGGTCTCCAAACTCAAAGACCAGCATAGTCCTTTCCTGAAAGGGATACATCTGCAGAGACAAGGACATGATCTTGTAAGCAGAAATAAAGAATTTCATACCCAGTTATGCAGACAGAAAACAATGGAAGAGTCCGACTGAAATATGAAAGGGAATGCAACATACAGATGTATCCCAAAAGCAGCCATACTGCCTCAAATCCCAAGGTCCACCTAACCCAATATTGCCCTAGTATGGGGAAAAAAAGGAGATAAATGTTTAGAGCAGTGGGCAACATCCTCTCACAATTCCCGGAAGTCTGATGCAAGGCACTTTCTCTATAGCCTTGTGGATTTTTCTCTATGACTAGTTTTTGAATAAATGGCATTTGCAGCATTCAGACAGAGATGTAATCAATGTACACAGACTAGAACTCACAAAAGCCATATCACAAAAGCTGTATATCCACTTTTAAATAGCATGTTTGCATCACAAACACTTCCATATGCCTGAAGCATAAAAGATTTGCTATCTGTGTCAGTTTCTAGAGATGGCTTAAGAGGCAAATTAGCATTATCCAATTGCTTTAAAGTCTTGTAGAGGGACAGTTCACACAAAGACTGAGTAATGGCTCCTCTTCCAAGCTGAAATTCAGTATCAGTTCTGTACAGTTGTATAATACCCTAGCATTGTATGTAACCCTTTAATGCAGGATTCTGCACTGCTAATTTCAGAATATCCTTAAACTCGTTGTCTCTGCCCCCTCCCTGCACACCTATGCTTCTCTATCCCACAGCAAGTACCACACTATACCATACAGCATGCCCCATGCAGTAAGAACAGAAGTATAAAGTTTGACTGCTTGTAATTTAGACAATATGATTCTTCCACTTGTGTACCAGCACATCAGTTTACAACTCCTGCATCACAGTCTATGACTTGCTGTCAGTTCAGTGAGACTACAGCAATTCTAATGCGTCCCACGTGTTGTGTTTTCCCCCTCAAATTAATATGCTCAAATTGATTTCCCTCACTTTAGGGTGATAGATGTTCAAAACTTATGTAACTAAGAATTTTATTCTCTACCTAGTTTGTTTACATTATCATAACACATACATCACTAGAGAAAGAGAGTACCACCAGACTCCTTAACCTGAACATT